AATAACTAAGAGTTTGTGGTGTCACCCAGATGTGTTAGACAAATCTGGTGATCCAAGAAAAGTAGATGGAAAGTGAGAAGGGGAAGGTGAGGGAGAAGAGCGAATCACCGACCCAGAATCCTTTTCTCCCCCTGCACCCACAATTTGGCCCACTTTGCCCAGGAATAGAAAAGGAGAAAACACCTGGAGGCAGTGGGAGCCTCTTCAGACATCGGAGGACTCTGAGTAGGGACAGGTGTGCCGAGGAGGCATCAGGGCTGGCGCAGTGCTGGTGAACCCCTTTGTTGTGGGGCTCCCTATCCCCCCTTTTCCTGGAGACTGGCAGAGGGTGGGACAATGGTAAATAAAGCACACTTCTGAACCTTTCCTAGGACATCTCTGGAGCCCCCTAGTGATCAGAACAAAATCACCAACCACCTGCACCTAAAACCAGCAGGCTTAGCTGAAGTGATTCCAGGAAAGACATTTAAGATTAAAATAGATGCACCTACCGGCCCTCCCTGGTGGCGCAGCGGGTTAAAGCACAGCACTAAGAAGCTTAAGCCGATTCTGCATGAGTTCGATCCCCGCCTGCCCCGGAGGTGACCACATGGCGCAGCAGACCTCTCCTGACCCGCCCGCTGCTCCCCTCAGCAGGTGGAGTTTTCAGGGCTGGTCCCCACATTGGGGGCCTCTAGATATCCCATGCCCTCGGGTGGAAAGAGGCCTCCAGAGCCCCCACACTTGCCCAGTGACCCAGGGCCACATGGCACAGCAGACCTCTCCTGACCTACCTGCTGCTCCCCCTCAGCAGTGTATTTCAATCCATCCTCCTGTTCTGCTCCCTACTCTGTCTCTGGTGACTCCTCTCACCCACCACACCTCTGGCCGTGCCCTAATTCTGTAAGCATAGATAAAAAAGAAATCTTTTTTTTTTAAAGATTTATTTTATTTGTACATACAGAACTGGGGTACAGGCCAGAGGCTCAGGGGCGGTGAGCAGATTCACCAGAGACAGAGCGGGGAGCAGAACAGGCAGATTGTTGAAGTACACTGCTGAGGGGAGCAGCGGGCGAGTCAGGAGAGGTCTGCCACGCCATGTGGTCACCTCCGGGGCAGGCGGGGGTCGAACTCATGCGAAATGAATTAGGCTTCTCAGTGCAGCGCTTTAACCCGCTGCGCCACCAGGGAGGGCCCTCTTTTTAAATTTTGATTGTCCTACATCAGGGGTCACCTTTGTAGAGCTATGTGACCCCACCCCCCACCCCTGTAAGTCCCTTCCCCAGGTTTCCTCCCCTACTGGACCACTACAACTCTCTTACTGTGCCCATGGTCAGCTGACAAGCTGTGACTATCCCAGCCAGGGTGGGTCCCCATCTTTCAGCCAGCTTAACAGAGAACCCAGGAGTCCCAGCATCATCCCCTCAGGCTTATCAATAGAACCAGGGGACACAAGCCAGGGGAACAGCACCTGAGCCCCGCAAACCCCTACAGGCTCCTTGCCTGGGTCTCTCTGGCCTCTCCTGTAGCCTCTTCCTCTGGAGGACATCTGGGCTCTCGGAGCTCCGGCCTCACTGAGAAATCTGCCTTAGGTCCTGACCGCCAGGCCCAGGGGAGCCCGCTTTGCAGGCCCACACCCACCCGCCCCCACCCCCCCAGCAGTGTCCACCTTCAGGCAGGGGCGCCCTCGGCCCCAGCTCCCAAGTGCCTCCTGCAGTCGAGGCCCAGTAGAGGGCCTCAGAGGCCAGTGCCATAACAGCCTGACCATTTCACTTAGCCCAAGGATGTCTCTGGGGGCTCATAAGAGGTCCCGGTGAGGGCCCCAAAAGACAGATACAAAACAAAAAGACAGAAAAAAAGAACTATGCATAAATTAATTACACTCTAAAGAAATGGTGGATAAAGGGAACGTTAGAAAACAGGTTGAAGGACATGAATGTATCCCCGGCCAAAATGGGTGGGAAGGACACTGACCAGACACCAACACTTTCATGAAAAAAGTGTGAACCCCAGGCCATGTGTTCCACCTCAAAAAGCAGGAAACACAGCAAGAGAAACCAAAAGAAAAGATGAGCTAGTAGAGAGCAAAAAGTCATGAAGTAAAACTATATTTACACAAATAAAAACACCTAAAACTTGTGTGACGAGCAGGAATGTGGTTTTAGCAGCGAATGGCAAACACCCCATTATGAACTAATCCCACCTAACAAGCCCTGCTTTCCAGCATGTTCCCTGGCAGGGACCTCGGCCTACCTGACGCTGTTTCCAGAGCTGTCTCAGGGGCACCTGGGCTGGGCTCTTGGCCTAGAGAGCTGTCAAGGGATAAGCTGCCTCCTGGTGGCCACAGTTGAAAGGACACATCCTCCATTAGAGCCCCTTGGGGCCCTACACAAGGGGTGGTCTGGTCTCCTCCTCCCCAAGCTGCAAGGAATTCTGACTCCAGCCCAGGGACTTTCAAGTGATCACTCACAGGAATCACCTGAGCTTTGGGACCAGCCCTGGGCTCCCCTTCATTGCCCCTTAATTGGTTCCTAACGGGCTGTGGGTGTGCCGGGTTCTCCCCAGGCCTATGCTTTGGGGCAGCAGAGGCTACCCTGCCCCCCAGACAGACAGGTGCCCTGGGCCACAGGACAGGGGCAGACACCCTGTGGGGCAGGTGCCCAGGAGGACAGGGACACCCCCACATCCCCATCCCCTGGGGCTCTGGGTGGGTCCCCTGGCCTGAGCAGGTGCAGGGGGCAGTGATGAGCTCGGGGTCTGGCTCCCCTCACATCCTGGGCTCAGGCCACTGAGCCTCTCCCCTGGTGCCACTGAGCCTCTCCCCTGTGTGCAGGACACGCTCCCAGGACTGTGGACGCTGCAGACCCAGCCAGGCCACGGGAGCCTGGGCCCTCGGCTGCCCACACAGAACCTCATGGGACACAGGGACACGGAGTGCAGAGACCCAAACCAGCTCAGCAAACCCTGGAAACCTCAGGACAGAAGTGAGGTTACAGGTGGAGGAAGAAGAGGAGTGTGGTGAGAGGGGCCCGGTGCTCAAAGGACAGTGAGAGAAGGATACTGGGGTTTGATGTAGCATGGACTGGTAACAATCATGTAAAGAGGGGTAGCCCCATACCCCTCAAAGAAAAGAAAAAAATAAGGACAAAATCAAGTTACCTCAAAGCAAAGAAAAAAATAAGGACAAAATCAAGAGAATATTTGCATATCCATTAATAGGATAACTTAAAGTTTTAATAAGTCAGCACCACTCAGCGAGATCTCCATACTGACCATTCCATTCAAGCAAATATAACAGAAGCACAAGGAAAGAGGAAAAATAATTGCTGCCAACATTCTGGTATCAAATGACAAAGGAAGTAATCGAATTACCACTGTATACAAGCTCAACCAGAGCAATGGTCCACACCCGGGTCATCAGTCTGTGATGCCCACAGAGACCAGCCCTGCACCCTCAGGCAGGAGCCGGGCCCGCAGCCTGCTGTGGACTGAGCAGGAGCCTCATCAGGTCTCACGTCCAGCTGCCGGTCACAGGGAAGCAAAGGACACAGGGGCCTGGGAGGACAGCAGAGCTGCCTGTGGGCGGCGGAGACTTCACATTCAGGGTGGGCAACCGGGTGAGAGGCAGGCAAGGGGGAGACTGCGTGGGTGGTCTGGGTGGGGGTGCAGGGGATCAGGGGG